AAGCTCGCTAACATCCTGCAGATATTCGTCTAGATCCTGCTTAAGCCAATTTTTTGCCCAAGAATCAAGGAACTTCGATTCTATCTGTAATTGATTTTGAAAAAAAAAATCGCTTGGGAAAAAACCTCGGACCGTTACGGCTGCTTCGTGACATCGGAGAGTGCGAATAAATGAAACAATCAGGTCGATTTTTTTTTGCAAAATAATTCATTCTTGGAAATGAAAAGCTTGAAAAATCTTTTTGCTAAAGTATTTTACGTACTCGGCATTGGAAGTGGTTGGTGAGAAAAAGAAACGTCAGTGCGAACCTGGATAACGTGAAAACCACATTACCTGCTGTGCTGTTTTGTTCTCCTCTTTTGCTAAACTGTTTAGTGCTTGTTGTGTATCCTTCATCACAGTATTAAACTGAAAAAGTTTTTTCATTTGGTTCATTAAAATTCAAAAAATATGGATGCGTTAGCATCTGTGTTATCGATTTTGGAATAATAGGTTTTTGAAATTTGCGCAGCTAGGATTTGTGAACTTGACTTTGATTTGTCCCTTCTGCTATCTTGATCAGTTTTGAATTTTCTTTACAAGGAAATAGAAAAAGAGCACCTCCATCTATGACTATTCAACGAAATGGATTCCTCATCTGACCTTTCACATATGCTAATATCAATTTACCACCGAAACGAATGAAAGATTCATAGAGGAGCTAGATTCTCCCACTCGCGGAGTCGAACCGCCGGCCTAAGGCGCGACAACAGCGCTACTTTCGTTATGCAAACAATCGTCCCAGTGCACTATCCCATCTGCTAGTTTGAAAAAGTGCTTCTTAAAAACAGCCCTTCCTACTCATAAGGGTACAATTTATACTGCGAATACTCAAAATTAGAAGTCAAAGTCCCCTTCATAATTCACTCTTTGTAAGAGGCAAAGGCATTCAAAAGTAGTCTTTGTCACATATTAACAGCAGATGTTCTCTCGTAAAGGTATCAGTGTCTATCTTTCTTCCAAGAATTATCTGGAAGCAAGCTGTTAGCGGATATCCCCAATTACCTGGTATGTAGCAGTGCTAAGCACTGTTATTCTCGTACTAGGGGTTAGAAGTCGACTTTGCCAGTTGGTCAACCACCTACTTTTATGATTCGTTCATTCGTTTCAATGTTAAAAGTACAGTTTAAAGTGTTGAAAAAAGTGCCTTTGCAACATTATTTCCCTTGCTTCAATGAACATGCATAC